GCCCTAAGTCTTGTTTTAATTGTCTATATAGAGCTTCTTCACCTTTGCTGCAAAGTATATAATCAATCTGATTTCGATATTGACCATCTGGTGATGTCCATGTGTAGAGTTGCCTTTTGGGCTGTCAAAAAAGAGTGTTTGCTATGACCAGAGAGTTATCTTTACAAAACTCTATCAGTCTCTACTATGCTTCATACTGTACTCCAAGGCCAAATTTGCCTGTGATTCCAATTATCTTTTGGTTTCCTTTTATCATTCCAATCCCCTGTAATGAACATGACATCTTTTTTTGTTGTTTCTAGAAGACGCTGTAGGTTTTCACACAACTGATCAGCTTTGGCTCCTTTAGCATCAATGGAATGTTTTGCCTTGGATTTAAACATATATTATTCTGTCATTTTTGAGATTCTACCTCAGTACTGTTTTTCTCACCCTGTTATCGACTATGAGGGCTACTCCATTTCTTCTAAGGAATACTTGCCTACTGTAGTATATGTACTGATCACTTGAATTAAATTCAGGCATGCCTTTCATTTAAGTTCACTGACACCTAAAATGCTGATGTTTAATCTCATAGCTATAATAGTAGCCAGTGGAACAGAAGACTTCCATTCAGGAATTTTAAAAAGTCCCTAAAACAGAAAGCATTCCAGTAGTTAGACTGAGCCAGAAATAGGATGCCAAAATAGAGACTGTTCCTGGAAATTAGAGACAACTTGCAGGCCATTATTCTGCTGGCCTTTTCACTGTTGTTCTTTGTACCTTTTGTGGGTTCCACAAAACCTGACATTTTTTGAAGTTTAATAGCCATCTACAGTTAATGTTCTTCTTTGTCATTCTCAGATCTCTAATATACTAGAAATGCTGTGATTGTTATTTGTTCAACTGAAAATGTATATAATTCAGTTAAGAATGATAGTATTAATTTGAACAATGAAAAGTTTTTTTTTCCAAGATGCAGAGTAGCACCACCAACAGGGCTTGATTAAAAATTTTTCAAATGGAAAACTTGGAGTTTCTGGACAATTTAAAATTTTTCCAAAAGTCTGACTTTTGTCCACTTTAGTAGTCTAGAAAAAGTCATCACCTGGAAATATCTAAAAAAGACATTTTCTTTTTTTTCTTTTTTTTTTTAGTATTTTTAAAAATTTAGTATTTTCTTTTCCCTCAGTTACATGTAAAAACAATTTTCAACATCCATTTTAAAAACTTTGAGTTCCAGATTCTCTCCTTTCCTTCCTCTCCATCCTTCCTCTCCCACTGAGAAGGCAAGCAATTCTATATAGGTTATACATGTGCAGTCACGCAAAACATATTCATAACAGCCATGTTGTAAAAGAAAACATAGACAAAAAAAAAAAACTCAAGAAAATTAAGAAAGTAAAAAAAAAACTATGCTTCAATCTGTATTCAGACACCATCAGTTCTTTCTCTGGTGATGGATAGCGTTTTTTCATCATAAGGTTCTTCAGAGTTCTCTAGGATCATTGTATTGCTGAGAATAGCTAAGTCATTCACAACTGATCATGTTACAATATTGCTATTACTTTGTACATGGTACATTTCACTTTTCATCAGCTCATGTAAGCTTTTTCAGGTTCTTCTGAGAGCATCCTGCTTATTATTTCTTAAGAGTACAATAGTATTCCATCATAATTGGATATCACAACTTGTTCAGTCATTCCTCAACTAATAGGCATCCCCTCAATTACTAATTCTTTGCCCCCAGAAAAAAGCTGCTATAAATATATTTGTACATATAGGTCCTTTTCCTTTTTGTTTTTTATCTCTTTTGGGATATAGACCTAATAGTGGAATTGCTAGGTCAAAGAGCATGCATGGTTTTATAGCCCTTTGGGCATAGTTCCAAATTGCTTTGCAGAATGGTTGAATCAGTTCACAAGTCCACCAATAGTGCATTAATGTCTCATTTTTCCCACATCCCCTCCAATATTTGTCATTTTCCTTTTTTGTCCTATTAGCCAATTTAATAGGTATGAGGTAGTACCTCAAAATTGCTTCAATTTGCATTTCTCATCATTAGTGAGTTATTTTTTCATATGGCTATGGATAGTTTGGATTACTTCATCTAAAAACTTATATATTTTGATTGAAAAAGACATTTTTACAGAATATAGCTGTCCCAAAGCTGAGGCACTCTTGATATAGGCAAAACTATTCTTAGGGCTTTCAATTACATAATTGTGAGTAAAATGAGGCAACAGGTTCAGAGGAGGAAGATAAGCAGACTGAAGAATTATAAAAACTCAGTTGTCTGGGACCATTTAGTATATGTACAAAAAGAGTCCTGTACAGCCCAAAAAGTACCTGAAATATTACACACTTAATATTCATAAAGATGATACTGTCATCAAGAAAAGAGTGATGGTATCTTGTGCTTGAGAAAGCCAGATGACATGTAATCTGTTTTCAAAAGATTTCCATGAAAAATAGTTAGAGTAAACAAAGTTTTGTCATTGAGAGAAGTAAGCTTTATTTATCTGGAAAATTCACTAATGTAAAATACCTCCCCATGAAGAGTGAATAATGTGTTATTACAATGCCTAGTGTGCAAATAATTTCTCAATTAGACAGAATTTACTAAATATAAAATACAGTTAAATCTTATCTCACTTCAGTTTGCCAAATAATAGGCCTGTGAGAGGTAAGGAACGATTATGTTTCCATATAAGGAGATTGAGAGAAAAAGTAGCTTAGAGGTTCTAGAACCAGCTGAAAACGGATGAAACTGGTTGTTTGGTTAAAGAGGCTGGAAGAAGAACAAAGGTTAAGCTTTAGAGTGTGCATGCGTAATGGCCTCATTAATACTAACTTCTCCACCCAGAGGGGAGCAATAGCACAGAACTAGGCACATTTCATATGTTAGCAGGAGGAGGGACATGTTATGAAGTGGAAGAATCAGGAAAATTGTAACCCAGAAGACCAGGGACCAATCCTGGCTCTGAAGGGAGAGACAAGAAGGAATTAACTGCATAAAAGGCTTGCTCTGCCATCTGTGGGTGTGTGTATGTTGCTTTTTCTTTTTTGGGGGGTATCACACACACACTTCTTGCAAGAATTGTCAATAAATAAATGTCCCTTTGGTCATTTCAGTTTAAGTTTTGTTTCTTAAGGGAGGATGGAACAACTCCACATGGTATGTTTCTAGGAGAGCAGTGAGTTGTGGCTGCACGCTTGGGCTAAACCCCTAACCCTACCAAGGAGTGACTGAACCATGTTTCTCACAGTTCTATTAAGTCCCAAGTAATTTCATAGTCTCTTCTAGCAATATTTTATCTATTTCTCTCCTACTCCCTAGCTTACAAATAACCAATACACAGATAAGCATGGTCCTCAATCCATGACCCCTGTCCCCAGTGCTGCTGCCATAAGAGCCCATTGTGAAAAATCATGGAGCTTTTAGAGAATCTGTGAGTTCATAGAATCATGGAATGTTAGGGCTGAAAGGGATTTCAGAGGTCATCTGGTTCAATCACCAAAGAAGGTAGCATTTAACTAGACCCTTAAAATGAGCTCTGGGTGAAAGTGAGGAGGGAGGGCATTCTAGACATCAGGGTAGCCCTTTGCTACCCTGGCATAGAGGTTGGAGATGGAATATCAAGTATAGAGAATAGCAAATAGGTTAGTTTGACTATATAAAGTGCCTGAGGAAGGGTAATGAGTAATCAGTCCCCTGAAGCAGGCTGGATCTAGAATATGAAGGGGATAAATGCTAAGCAGAGGAAATTTAAAACCCTAAAGGCAAAGGGAAGCCACTGAAGTATCTTGAGCCAAGGTAGTAACAATCAGCCCTACAATTTAGTAAAATCATTTTTGGCAATCTTATGGAGGATGAATAGAAGGAAAGGAAGAGACTGGTTTCAAGAAGGTCAAGTAGGATATAATTTCCCTCTAAGACTGACAAAAATGTTGACTAGAATAGGCCAAGGACAATACTAGGTATAGCACTCTACTGGACACTTTTCTTCAAGTTGACATTAAGCCTTTCATCACCACTTATTGACTGACGGCATTCATTCATCTCTGGATTTTTACTGTACCTACCTAACATTCAGGCCATGTATTTTTCTCTTTTCCGTAAGGATATTGTGAAAAGTTTTGTAAGTAGCTTGTTAAAAAACTGGGCATACTATATCTATATACCTTTGTGGGACTACAGGAAAGTTCATCAATGAAAAACCATTTGAATTAAAAGGAATCTCTTTTAAATGCAAATGCCTTCTGGAGGATTTGGGGGGATATCAGTCATTCTCACATAAGTGGAATTTCATTCAATCCATGGCTTTTTCTAGACATCTAGGCGATTAATCCCAGTGGCCACTAAACACAGGAGCATTCCCACCCCTTTGTTTTGAGGGAGGGGCAGGAATTTACTATTTGTTGGGCATGGTAGGTCTGGGTATCTATGGACCTGGAAAAGACACTAGAAGGGCATTAGATGGGATTATAAAAAAAAAAAAAAAAAGGTATGAGTATTCCAAAGGCAAACTTTTTCTGTTTCAAAATTTTGCCTAGGGATGGCCCTGGTAAAGGAGACAACTCTTCCTCTTCATCTCCTATATTGCATGCCTCTCTCCCTGCACTTCCAAGATCCAGAACTCAGCCCAGTAATATTAACATAGCTGCATTATAGGTTAAAAGACCTTTTGTGCACTAGCTTAAGACCTAATCATTATTTATTACAATGTTTCCAGGGGAAAATGCCTTCTGGGTTCCAGCCAATCAACTTAAAATAATAATAGTAACTGACACATAAAGCACATAGGGAGAGTGCTTAAGGCTTGCAAAGCACTTAACATATATCTATATATATATATCCCAACTGAATGTCTTCTTTTCTGGTAGAATCTTGCTTTTTCTAGGAGTAAATGATAAAGCCTCATTTTACACTCCACATAAGGCTTAAATTTTTTAAGTGTCAACTTTTTTAAAAGAAAGAAAAAGAAAAAAACTTACTTTTTTTTCCCCTTTTCCTACAGGTCAGAAAGGGTTCTTTGTTAGATGTAATCTCCTTTCCAGCAAAAACTGCCTTTGCAAGCATAATATATGCATCTTATGCAACACTAATTTACTTGGTAGGTTAATAAAATACTTCCAAGTGCAATAGTTCTTTCATGTAATGGTGAAAAGATAAGGTGAATACCCATCTTATTTTTTCATAAAGATCAAATGGTATGTTAAACTTAGAATATGCATAGCATTTGGGTGGAATTTCAACCTTGATTAGCCAGAATAAATGCCTTTTTGAGAATAAGTATTACATACCTAGGCATTCATCCAATTGTCACACTGCAAGAAAGAATGGCCCTATTTTCATACCAACCTAATTATAGTACAGTAGAACGTCTGTTAGCCAAATCTTAATTAATTAAACATCTATATTATCTAAAGTATACTGAAAGAAAATAAGAATGCTGAAGTAGTCTTATCAAAGGCAATTTCTAGAGACCTGATATTATTTAAATGTTTCCTCTAACATTGAAATTGCACTATAGTACAGTATCCCCAATATCAATTCATAAAAGATAAAAGAAGCTGTCATTGTTTAATTAACCAGAGTTTCCTCAATACTTTGGATAATCAAGACAACTCTAAAAGCTTCTTTTATTTAATGGATAGAAAATGGAATTGAATATCTTATTAAAAGCTTTTGCATATAAAATACAACCTAGGAGAGTATGATATCTACCTTTTTAATCTATAGTCTCATTAACCTTGACTTGTGAATCAGTAGAAACATTGTATGATAGAGCTAGAAGTGACTTTAGATATAATCTAGTTTAATCTTCTCCTTTTAAAGATTAGGAACTGAGGTCCAGAGAGATGAAATTACTTGTCCACGGCCACATAATTCATCAGTCGATACAATTCCCAGGCTATCTATTATGCCATTTGTTTTATGGGGTTGGGGAATGGTGTTCCTTCTCTGCATCGAACCTAAAAATCCAAGAATTGTGGAAAACAAATCTGGAAAAGATATACTGGGCTATCTATTCCAACCCAAAATGGCATAGGATGACATTCAGATGGGGAATTGGGGGTCAGGAGACCTTGACTGTAATCCTGGTTTTGTTATCAATTAGTGTAACTTTGGGCAAACCCTTTTACGTCTTTAGGCCTCAGTTTCTTCAACTGTAAAATTGGGGGAGGTGTACTAAATGATCTCTAAAGCCTTTCTTGCTCTTGAAATCAATGATTTCTGTAGTCTATGAACTAACTAAAACTAACCCTTTATTTAACCTGTGGCCTTACCTGTTATCATATTCCTAAATCCCCTATTTCCATCTAAGTCCCAGTACTATCAATCAATGGAATGAGACCATATGCCCCTGCAAATGGGCTGCAAGCAGGTCTCTCACCTAAGTACACCTAACCCAAAATAAGTATGTTGTATGGACTTAAGGTTTACTTAAAAATGTTTGCCTTTAACCCACAAACATTCTGAGGTAAAATGCCACAATTTTTAATCATGTTGTCAAAGTATTACCCAGGTTAAAAAACAATTAAATCTTCTTATCTCACTTTCCGTCTAATTGTTCATAAGCTATCTTACAAAAACTTCAGTAAGTTCATAGCCTTTTCCTAGCTGTACTGGTTTGGGCCTTCCAGATTCTCATGGACTAGATCTTGCTATTTGCCATTTGTTTATCTGTTTATATGCAGCTTCCCAGGTATAATTTCAGCTCCTTGAAGGCAGGGACCATTCTTTATATCGTTGTAGCTCTATGTGATAGAATAGTCCCTTTCAGAGTTTAAGTTGCTTAAAAAATTCTTGTTGAATTGAGTTGAATTGTTAATTTCCTTGAATACTTGCTGTACTCTACAAGTACTTAGGTTTCATTTGGATGTTGTACTATACTGTGTTTCCCAACTTTTTCAAAATTGTTAAAACTAACATTTTTTATTTCATACATACTTGCTGATAAAAGTGCCATATAGAATAAATTTATTTGTGAGTGAGACTTCAGGAGTTGGAGGGGATAAATGGATTAAAATAATTTTAAAAGAATTTTAGTGATATTCTTTGAGATAATGAGTCTGGGGTACCACAAAAATTGGGGCTGGAAATTACTGTTCTCTTGTCTTACTGAATTCTTCTCCAAATGATCTATATTCTTTTCAAATTATGGTACTGTAAACTAGACAGTTATTACCTATATGCAGAAAATTCCAAAGGTGTTATAAAGAATTCTACTTTATAGTATTGGTTGGGAAGCTAATTCAATCCTTAGAAAATATTTTCTTTAACAAATCATGAAAGCATAAATTCTGAAGTTGTTATTGGAATACATAGATTGCTAACTTTAAAAGAAAATATTATTTAAAAGTAAAATAGATTTTTCTTTTTATTACATAGACAGTGTGTATTAATGCATTGCTGGAGAAGGTGAAGAATATTTTTCAAGAAGAAGAGTCCATAAGGCAAAACAAAAAGGATAGTTTTGAAGTTAGAAAAGCCTTTTCTGAGCCTGCGTTTTGTGAACATGAAATCATAGCTAAACCTTATAGATCTCTGCCGGAGAACCCAAACACTGTTCTCCTCTCTGATATTAAGCTTCCTGATATTAAGTTGAGTGACAGGATTCAAGTATTACATTCTGTATTTGACCAATCAACTGAAATGAATGAATAATATGAATACAAAAATGACTTTTTAAAATGGAGCTTAAATGCTATCTGAAGGTATATTTAATCTGAAAATGGAAAAAATGTAGGTATATTGAATACCCTACTTATAAACAAAACAATTGCTACAAAATGTCATTCTCTGGTGCTATGTAGAAGAAAAATAAACTGAACTGTTTTATACATATGTATAAGTGGTTTTCAGCACAAAAAAGAGAAAATAACATAGATATATAAATCAGTGTACATCTTCACTTTAACAAATCAATATTAATTTGGTAGATTGTGTGTGTTATTATAGCACAGCCTTGACTGTGGGGCCTTTTACAATAAATTTATATTTTTGAAATCTCTTTTGAATATCTTTCTAATAACTGAAATTATTTTTAAAAATTTTAATGGAGTTTTATAAACTAACAAAATCCCCCATAATCCTTTTTATAAAGACAATGAGTATATGAGTATTCACAAGCTTCATAGTCCAAGACTATTTTGCCATAAATAATTACTTTCTGCCTCACTTTCTCAATCTGAAAAACCTAGATGCAAACACTTGAGATTCTTGGGTAGTCATACTATTTAATTATAAAATATTACATTTACAATTTTAATTTGTATAGATAAGTTTATTTGTATACACAACTTTATGGTAGCTAGATGACACAGTGTATAGAGGGCTAGACCTATAGTCAGGAAAACCTGAGTTTAAACCCAATGTTATAACTCACTACCTACATGACCCTGATTGATTCATATAGGGAGTAAGTGTATGAGACTGGATTTACTGGGCAAGTCATTTACTGGATTTAAATCCATTTATTAGATTTACTGGGAGAGCCATTTAACTTGTGAGTCTGTTTACCTCAGTTCCCTCATCTGTAAAATTGGTATATTAGCACCTACCTCCTAGAGTTGCTGTGAAGGTCAAATTATATCATACTTGTGAAGCACTTAGTGTAGTGTTTGACATACACTAGGTTCTATTTAAATGTTAGCTATTATGATTATGAAGTTCAAATCTTACATGTAATCAAATATATAAAACTAACTAACTTTATAACTTTAAAAGAAAAAATGAAGTAGATTAATACTAACACTTAAAGGTGACCTTCGTTTCATATTCCTAAAGTGTATTTTCAAGGCTTAAAATGTATTATTTATAGATTACAGAGAAATCATTCAAATTTAAGGCCACAAATCACACTCATGCTGCTAATCCTAGGAATATGTGAGCTCTTTGAGGATAGGGACTGTTTAATTTTTTGTTTTTGTATCCCTAGCACCTAGCACAATGCCTGGCACTATTAATGCTTAATAAATATTGTTGAATTGAATTGAGTTGAGTTAAAGCTAGTCCCCTGACTCCAAAGTCACTATCTTGCCAATGAGCTACACTTGTTTTATGTTGTATCTTTAACCTTTGGGATTAACATAAATATATGCATGTGATTACTAATTCCTTTTCTAGAATGTCCTTGAGTTGTTTCAGTCATGTCTAATTCTCTGTGACCCCATTTGGGGTTTTCTTGACAAAGATCCTGGAGTGGTTTGCCATTTCCTTCTCCAGCTCATTTTACAGATGAAGAAACGGAGACGAACAGGATTAAGTGACTTGCCCAGGGTCACATAGCTAGTAAGTGTTTGAGGTCACATTAGAACTCAGTTCTTCCTGACTCCAGGCTGGGTGCTCTATCCAATGTGCCATTTAACTGGCCTAGAAGTTCCTTACCCATTCTTTTAGTAATAAATTCTGGAAAATTGCCAGGAATTTGAGCCAAGTTTATCACCCTTCGGTTTACAACCAGAATCAATCCCTTTTTTTTTTAATTAAGAAAAGAAACAAACAAAAAAAACCCAACCAGGACATTTGTTCTTCCTTGTCCTGCAGCAACTCTCACATTCTCTATACTCTTTCAAAGAGCACTAGCAATGGTTCAAAAGTAATATCACAATAATCTGGGATACATCCCAGGTGTGTCTGGGCCAAGTCACTTGAACTCATCGGGGCAGTTAGTTGTTTTCTCTTATTATCTTCTTACTTATCTTGGGTTTCAACTTCCTATCTACTTTTGTTCTATCCTTTTCTTTTTCCAGTCCAAAGATCATTGTCCTTAGTAGAGAAAACAGACACAAGAATTGAACAGTTCTGCCCTCCTTCTGCCTTCTGTTATCAAGGCCCCAGCTCCCTAGAACACTGGTCCTATCTTTGAGCTTCCTCTTCTCAATTTTGATTAAACAAAATATAATAAATCCCTTTCTGTTATGTCTAGCATTCCTTTCCAGACTCAGATCTTTCTGAGCTTCAGTTTTCCAAACTTAAAGGACCATGACATGCTTTTGCATTAATCCTCTGATAAGTGCCCTTGTTTCCATTTTCTGTACATCTTTTATTTTACTTTTTTAAAAAATGATATATTTTGTTCTTACAAGGCCTTTATTTCTCAATATATCTTTTTCTTCTCCCACCCAGAGAATCATCTCTTATAATAAAAAAGAATAAATGGGAAAAAAGAAAAAAGTTTGGCAAAATCAATCACCATATCAACCAAAAGCAACATTACTCAATGTTTTGCACCTACAGTCTCCTGACACTGCAAAGAAAGAAAGGAGGAGCATTCTCATATCTCTTCTTTGGGTTTAAGTTTGGTCATTATAATTACTCAGCATTTAGTTTAGATTTTTTTAGTTGTTGTTGTTGCTGTTTTTTCTATCTCCATTGTTGTAGTAATTGTGTATATTCTTTTCTGGTTCTGCTTAAATCAGTTCATATGTCTTCCTATACTTCTCTATATTAATATTAATTCCATTATATTAATTTCTGTTTCAATCAGTTGAAGTTAAAAGGCATTTACTTTATTTCCAGTTTCCTGAGGTATGTCTTGTTTTGTTTTTTGTTTTTTGAAGCAAAGTTATGTCAATGAGTATTTTGATAAGAAGAATGTGTCATAGATTTTGTTTCATATTACATTCCTGTTTATGCTTCTCTGAGTTATCATTTTGTTTTTTTTATGATACATTTATACCAGGTTAATTTTATTTATTGCCTTTTGTATAGAATTTTCTAAAATATAAATATATTTTGTTTCATTATTGTCATATATTTTTAAAATTAGGAACTTTCCTCAGAGTAGAGGGTCTTTGAATTACTTTAAATTGTCCAGTGGCATAGAAATCAGAATCACACTTAAAATCTGAAGCCTTAGAAAGAGTTACATAAATATGCCCATTTTTCACGGTCACAGTATGGATTCTTTGCTTTACTCCTTTGGAACACCATTTGGGTACTGCTGATGGATCTTTAGGGTTTATAGATTGATATAGTCCTTCTCCTGTTGATAAAGTAATTTTGTATTTATGCCAGGGGCAAACAATACATGTCCGTCCATCAAAATCCTGGGGAAGAAAATGATTAAGCAGATTTAACATTTTGAAATCCCAAATTCTCACATCAAGCATAAAGATTTTTTAATGTAATTTTTATTTTATTTTACTTTTTACTTTTTTCATCTAGCAAACATTTGTTTTCTCTTCTCCCACCAATCACTAATTGAAAAAAAAAGGAAAAACAAAACTTTCATCAAATTTGAATAGTCAAGCAAAACAAAATCTCACATTAGTCATGTCCAGAAACGTATATTTCAATCTGCATCTTGAGTCTTATCACTTTTCCGACAGAAGATGGGCAGGAAGGCAACAAGATTTTTTTAAATAAAAGATATATTAACTTGTATTTACTAAATGCCTACCACCTGCCAGGCACTGTACTAGGTGCTGAAGATACAATCACTAACATAGCAGTTCATGCCTCCAAACAGCTTGAATTGTTTGGGTTTTTTTTTGTGGAGACTTTATTTATTTTAATCTGCATTCTGAGTCCATCAGTTCTCTAACTGGAGGTGAATAGCATGCTTCATCACAAGTATGTTGGAATTGTGATGGGTCATTGTGTTGATTAGAGTTACTAAGTCTTTCAAAGTTGATTATATTTACAATACTGCTGTTATTGTACAAATTTTTCTTCTGGTGCTGCTCACTTCATTTTCTATCAGTTCATATAGTTCTTCCTAGGTTTTTCAGAAACCATCTAGTTCATTTCTTATAATATAATGGTATCCCATCACATTCAAATATCATAATTTGTTCAGCCATTCTCCAATTAATAAGCATCCCCAGTCTGCGATCCTTTGCCATGAAAGGACTGCTATAAATATTTTTGTACACATGGGTCCTTTCACTCTTTCTTTAATCTCTTTGGGGTATAGCCCTAAAAGCAGTATTGCTGCATCAAAGGTTATGTATAACCTTCTGGGCATAGTTTCAAATTCCTTTCTAGAATGGTTAGACCAGCTCTACCAACACAGCATTAGTGTACCTATTTTCCCGCATTCCTTCCAATATTCGTTATTTTCCTTTTTTTGTCATTTTAGCCAATCTGGGGTTGTGAGGTAGTATCTCAGAGTTGTTTTAATTTGCATTTCTCTATTGAAGATTTATAGCTTTTTTTTTTTGGCAACTTTTTTTGGGGGGTGGGGTGAGGCAATTAGGGTTAAGTGACTTGCCCAGGTCACACAGCTAGTGAATGTTATGTCTGAGGCCGGATTTGAACTCTGGTCCTCCTGACTCCAGGGCCAGTGCTCTATCTACTGCGCCATCTAGCTGACCCTAGAGCATTTTTTAATATGGCTATTGATAGCTTTGATTTCTTCCTCTGAAAACTGCCTATTCATATCCTCTAACTATTTATCAATTGGGAGCAGCTTATATTCTAACAGAGATCTAACTTTACTTATAAGTGTAGCAAAAAGTGTGTTGGGCCTGTAGTCATGAGAAATCTAGTTTTGAATCCCACCTCTGACACTTTACTAGCTTTGTAACCATGGGTAAGTCACTTACCCTCTATGAGCCTTGATTTCCTCATCTGTAAAATGAGGATAACAGCACATACCTCACAGGGTCTTTGCTAGGATCGAATGATAAAATGTATATAAGGTGCTTTGTAAAGTTTAAAGAACTATATAAAAGTCAGTTATTATTAATAAAATCACACAAAAAAGAATTACTATATTAAAATTATTTTTAAAAAGCTCTTGACAGTTGATCACCCATCTGAAACATAAATGCCAAAATGAATGAAACAAAGATTTTTATGGTATGTAATAGGAAACTATCACATATATGTGCTAGAAGTGCCTGAACAATTTTCTCCCTGAAATAAGAGATCTTGCAAAGTGTTTTTACATTTAGTTAGTAAATCGTGGTTTTAGGTCATAAATACTAACCATGTACCTGGGATATATGGTATATAATAGATGTTCAATACATGTTTACTGAATGAACTCAAGTGAGGTAGCTAGGTTATGGATAGAATGCTAGTCCTAAAGTCAGGAAGACCTGAGTTCAAATCTGGCCTCAGATGTCAGATGGGTTAAGCTGTGTGTCTCTAGACAAGTCACTTAACCTCTGCTTACTTCAGTTTCCTTAACTGTAAAATGGGAATAATAACAGCACCTACCTCCCAGGATTGTTGAGGATCAAATGAGATAATATTTGAAAAGCTTTTAGCACACTGCATTGCACAAAGTAAGCGCTTACTAAATGCTTATTCCTCTTCTTTTTCCTCCTCATACTACAAAATTCAAAATGAAATTCACAGATTTTTATTCCCAGTTCCACTACAGAACCAATGTGTGATACTGAGAAAGTAATTTAACCTGTTTTTAACTCAGGAGTTTGAAATCTATCTGTTGGAGAAATATCTTACCCATTAAAGATACTTTAAATGTTGCATTTGTAAAGCATTATAAAGTGATAAGTATTTATAAAGAAAAAAAATGAAGTCCTCAGATAATATAAAATGCTCTATTCCTTTTCACCTTCAAGAGGTTACAAGAATGAAAACAACCTCCACTTCCTACTTGAATTATGACTCACTTTTCTAGTTGCAATGTGAGTTTAAGTAAGAAACAGAAAATAGGAGGGCCAGGTAACAGAAGGACCTTGTGACTTCCAGGGCCCCTATAGGACAAGGAATGTTAACAACTCTGGAAGAGTGGGAGAAAACTCTATAGCTTGGGCATAGTTCTATGCTTGAGCATGGACATGAACATCATGCTTAACATGAATATTAATTAAGCTGCCCTTCAAATTTCATCCACCTGGTCTAATAGCCATCATTAGTTATGGAATAAATTCTGAATGAAACTTGAATTTACCATCTATCACACTGCCCTAATATCTAGCAATCTCTTAATAACACTCAATTACTAAGCTCACATCTAGGTTAAGGATGAACCAGACAGATACAAAGTTCAGAGAGAAAAAGGACATCTAAGTTGAGATGAAACCTTCCATGAGGAGGAAAGGTAGTGCTGCTCACTTTTAGTATGGAGTAGAGGGTTTGAACAAGCAAAAACTGAGAAGAAAGGCAGAATAAGAATACTGGACAGTTTGCAAACTCTTCTGTAGTTGAATCTTTATAGTATAGCTTATGTATTTTGTAATATGAGTTTGGAAATATTACATTCTAAAGTAAAATATAATTTTTCTGTTCCCCACTAGTTTTGAAAGCCAAAAGATTAATAAAATACTAAACAATGAAAATATTAAGAAATTAAATAGAAAAAAATAATCAGTTTGTTGAAGATGGGTTTGTACATACCTCTATTTCTCCCAAATGTAAAGGTCCTCCTGAATCTGAAATATAAGTGAATACAACATCTGGTCAACAAAAATAGTTTCATAGTTAACTATATAACCACAAAGAGAACATATGTAAAAATCTTACGGTAACAGCGAATGTCCATAGCATGATATTCTCCTTTGTGATAGAAAATGACAACTTCTCTGTCATGGACTACAGCTGTCATTCTTTGACATTTTTTAAAGTCTTCTTCTGTACCAACATAGACAGGAGAATTATCTTCTATTGTCTGGGGATCTTGTGTACAGCTTGGCAGATCCATGTCTGCTAAATAAAATAAACGGGAAAAAATACACTAAGTAACTAATAAGTACAGTCTTTCTTAGTTCATCACCTTAACCAATACAGTTAATTATATTGTACAAAAAACAGATTTCTTCCAGATGAATAAATGACTTTCCTTGATTCCTTGATCAATATAAAATTCTTATAGACACAGAATCATTGTTGGCTCTTATAAAGTAGGCATTTTATTTTTTCCTAGGATAACCAGTACCATTATGTATGCTGTCTTACCAAGAGTTTCCACATTCTTCCTCCTCCATTGACCTAATATCTCTAGCAAAGCCACTATTCACAGAGGGGAACACCAGTAAGTTATTGCTAACTTCTTCCTAGGGTGGCAGAAGCCACTTTTGGAAGCATTCCTGGTTTTCTTTTCTACTGTGGTGGTGGCAAATGTAACTTTCAGAGGGTGTAAAGAAACTTCCATAACCTTTTTAAAGCCTGTTGTGTTTTGTTTGGTAACTTTAAAATGTTAGGAAAAATGTTTAAAATGTTAGGAAAAAAGGGTCTGGTCTGAGAAGCAAGGTTTTTCCTAAAAGGAATAAGTAAGGTTCTTCAACGGAGGAATAATTTCCAGGATAGAGAGGCTCTAAATTTATTAAGACCAAATTGTGTATACAACTGTTGCATGCCATTATTATATGAAGGGCAGCTCAGAATTACATAGAAGGCAGAAATCATACAGGTACTCAGAACTTTAGCACTTTAGACCACTGGTTCTCAAAGTATGATGTGGGGACCCTTGAGGGTCTTCAAGACCCTTAAAGGAAGAGTTTGTGATTTTATAATAATACTGAGATATTACTTGTCTATTAAAATACTCTCCACTTTTCCAACCTCATATCTGAGGCTAGATTCTCTTCATATATGTCAACCCAAACAATATATTGCAATAGATTGAATGCAGAAGCAGATATGAGAATCCATCTTCTATTAAGCCAGACATTAAAGAGATTTGTAAGAATATGTAAAATAATGCTACTCTCCTCACTAATGTCCTCACTAAAAAACTAATTAATTTTGTTTTGGAAAATAATTATTCATAGAAAATATTAATGTTAACATGGAATAGGTTTATTATTGTTATTTGAGATTAATAAACATTTAAAATTTTCATCAATTTTAATTTCGAAGATAACAAATATTGGTAGATATAACCATATTAATAAAAGCTCTTTGGGATTCTTGATAACTTTTAAGAGGTAAAAGCCTGCTGAGACCAAAAGGTTTAAGAACCACTACTCCAGACCATATTCTCTGGCAGGGAGGAATTAAGGACAGTTAGTGCTCACAAGTGTTATAGAAGCAATTAGCATGTTTTCCTTTAAATTAAGAACTAGCTAGAAGAGGAGGAAAAGGAAGAAAACAGAAGCCGTGAATTCAAGGCATAAGAGATGTAAAATTTGGAGTTTTAAAAGTAATTATAAAGGTACTTAGTTTGTATTTAGTTGTAATTTTTCTAACCAATACTTTTATTAGAACATTGTTATTTATAAGAAGAAAGTCTTTTACTGACTAGCTGTGTGATCTTGGGCAAATTACTCTCAGGGTCTCAGTTTCCCTTTTTAAAATTTTTTTTTAATTTTTAGGCAATTGGGGTTAAGTGACTTGCCCAGAGTCACACAGCTAGTAAGTGTCAAGTGTTTGATCTGAGGCCAGATTTGAACTCAGATCCTCCTGATTTCAGGGCTGGTGCTCTATCCACTGTGCCACCTAGCTGCCCCTTTTCAGATTCTCTTTTTAAAGAGGAGGTTTCAATAGATGAAATTTAAGTTCCCTTGTAGCTCTAAATCTATGATCCTTTGACAATGAGAAGCAACAAAACTCCAGTCAAATAGAAAGGTAAATATTAGTAATACACTGTCAAAGTTAAAGGACATGTCTATTCTGTTAATAACAAGTAGATTTTAGGGAATGCACTTTTTTGGGGGGGGGTGGGGAGATTGGAGAGATGTTTTGATATTTGTTGGGAAGTGTTTGCTGTTTAAAAACTGTATTAATATTTTTAGAATAAAAGTGTCTGTGGCCAAAATTTTTCTCAACTGTTGGTCAACCTTCTGGTAATAAGCCTTTCCAAACTTAATTAGACTAGTCTTTGTATGACAAACACACAGAATCCATCACTGGGCCTGTACTTGAAGTCTTTCCAACTTAATACAACTTTCTAGAGCTTGAGCTCTAAGATTAAAGCATTAGTGAACCCAAGGTTACTGCCATGTAACAATGAAACACTGAAGTAGGACTTTAATGGTGGATTGCTGGTATATAAATAAAAAATAACTAGCAATTCCAAGATAAAAGATGGGCTGGTAATAAGGACTAAATATTAAGATAATAATGCTGTGAAATAAAAGTAATTCTTAGATCTCTATTTTGAATCTTTCATAACTTTGCCAAATACAATCACAGGCAGAAATTCTCTCCAAAAACCTAAGGAAAAAATATTTAAAAGAGGTTAAATAAAACTAAGTTGAACACTATGTTATTATAATGACTAAATTAACTCTTAGAGAGAGGTAAGAGAATGTACTTCCCTTCTTTGAAAAAGTAGAACTCTTGAACTTGATTGACACGTTGGCTAGTTTTGCTGAGTTGCTTTTTTATCTTTAATTTATTTGTTTGTTTGTTTGTTATGAGATAGCTTGACAGGCAGGAGAAAGGGTAGAGATTATGTAAAGAAACGAAAGTGATATAAAGACAAAATATTTTAGACCAGACTCAAGATTTCACTGTGGGCATCCTATGAGCAAAATCCTACCCACTATTCAGAACCTGCTCTGGAATTTAGAGAGTTTAGAGAGTTTAGAGAGTTCCTGAGGCCACTGAAAGATAAAGTGAATTGCACAGAGTCAAACAGCAACTTTATGTTCAAAACAGGGCTTCAACCCCTGTTTCTGTCTAGAAGTCCGACCTGTTCCCTCTCCACTGTGCCATGCTGAAAATAAGACATCAATAACAAAATTTTTGATGGTTCAGTCCAAAAATAAACTTTGAAAAGTCATTAAGTTCTTTATGTATCAGGTCTGATACACACGCATACAGGTCTATCAAACAAACAAAGCAACAACCCCAAATACTATAATCAGTTGCTCAACTGGATTGTGGATTCTTAAACTACCTAGATTATTCTTTCCCCTACAAAAGTTACCTTTTATAACTAGTTTATTTGTACTTCCGCTGGAAGATTGGCAAATGTGATAAGGTGTCAAATTTGCTATTAAGTTGTGATGATAAGTCTGATTATCTAAAAAGTTGAAATTTGTCTCAAGTTTTCAGATTAAATGTGCATTTAAATTTTTCATGTTTCTCCCTATTCTCTAAGATAAATGAGAGTAAACTATTTCCTTGAAAAACAAACAGAAGCCCTTTTCCTCTAAAATATACATGTAAAAGCCAATTCATTCATTCAGATGATTTTTACAAAGCGAATTGCTAAATTAGAGATTATGTAAATTCCTAAAAATATTAGAAAAGTTTACTTCCAAAGTAAGAGTTAGGCAACAAGAAAAAGAGGAAGGGTAGAGAGAGATCCCCAGTTGCTTTCTTTCGGACTTCAGCAGTGAAATGCTAGAGGATCAAGGACCTTTGACTGACAGACTGGACTCCTGCTCTATAGAAGGTCAAGGAGATCGAAGGCAAAAGTCAGTAAAAGTTGACACTGTGGAGTGTCTCACATCTTAACAGTGAAAAGCTGTATAAAGTTATTCTATGACGAAATATCTAGGTGCTTAGTAAGTTCATAGTATCTTGAGCCTCAGTTCAAATCCTTAGAGAGCATTTAGTCCAATCTTCCTGATTTTACAAATAAACCCAGACTTAAAGAAATTAAAATCACACGAGTAGTAAACAGCAAAGTCAGAATTTTAACACGGCTCCTTTCTACAAATTCAGTTCTCATCATTCCACTATACCATCCTGACTTGGATTGAATGAGGGAGGGGGGGTACGTAGATAGGAGAAATAAATTCTAGTTCCCAAATTTAAAATACCTTTTCTGGAGATTTGGGTTGTGTGTTAATGTCTAGAGAGTCATTCTGTCTCAAGAGAAAAGTGGAGATGGGGATTAAATACTTTATCTTCAATTAATATTTTTTTCTTTCTTTTTTTTTAGTGAGGCAACTGGGGTTAAGTGACTTGCCCAGAGTCACACAGCTAGGAAGTATTATGTGTCTGCGGGCATATTTGAACTCAGGTCCTCCTGACTTCAGGGCTGGTGTTCCATCCACTGTGCCACCTAGCCGCTCCTTCAAAGAATATTCTGTCCACAGCACTGATATGAAGACTTTAGAGAGCTGACTTAAAACTAAGCATTGAGGGAGAGAAAGCACAAGGTAGCTATATAATTAATTCATTTTCTAGATTTTAAAAAAGTAGAAAAACCACCAGTACCATAAAAATAAGGAAATGCATAAGATGTGTAATAATATCAAAATTACAGCAATTAAGTCCAAAAGAAAGTAAAAACAAAATACAATATTTTCTTAGTTATGGGAAATAAAGTTAGCAAATTCACAGAAATCTATGACAATGGTTTCAACTTCTTTCAAGGTTGGGAGAAAAGGCTAAAGTGGACTTTTTTTGGCAAGAGATGATAAGAACAGAACAAGAAAGCTGTAGGTGGAATGATAAAGGTTTAAGGAACTTTATTTACTCTTTTTCACACTATGAAATACTTATCTTGTCATTTCATTTTAAATGGTTTCTTTGTGTACAACATAAATGCCATTACTTGTTATATTTAGTGACTTCATAATTAACAGCTCCATATCTTAATTAAAAGTTGTGACTATCCTTGTCCAGACTGTTGTAAACAAGACCAATCCAATTACTGTCATTTTAAATGTATTATTCATATTTCCCTACAAATTTTAATTTATCTTAATTCCATATTAAAATAACACAATCTTAACAGAAAAAAAGTGACAAATTAATTCATTCAATTGTTAGTATTGAGAAGGAAAATATTTCAGAACAGTAGCCAT